TTAAAGGCTGGAAAATACGGGATGGGGGCGGTTGGGCACTCCAGGAGCCGCGGGCAGGGATCCAGGCCTGAGATCCCGGGGCCACGATGCTGTGGCTTCATCCCTGTGGTGGAAAAGAGCTTTCTCATCCCACCGGAGTTGCCGGACGTGCTTTGTGCTCGCCCGGGGGGTTTAACGTGCAGAGAGGTGTTTTGTGACGACCCCAAACAGCTCCAGAAACCCTCCCAGCTCATCTTGGGTTTTGTTGTGGGGTTTTTTTTAATGGATTTCTCGCCTTTACTGATTTTTTTTCCCCTTAAAAAATGGTTTCCCAACCTCGTGGCCTGGTTGTGCCCCCCCCCGAGGGGGATGCTGAGCCACGGGGGATGTTGCCCTGGGGACCAGCACGGATGGAGGGTTCCGTGGCAGATCAGTGCTCACCAACTGGTGGTTATGGGATGCAGGAGGGCTCAGAGGGGTTTTTAAGGTGGTGGGAAGAGCCCTTTGGGGGATATTGCAGCAGGATGAGCAAGGGATGCTCCCACCCAGGGGTCCCCTCAGAGTTTTGGGGTGAAAGCTTCGCAGTTTTCACTGTTGAGGGAAAAATGAACGAAAAAATGAAAACCTTGTGCCCTGATTTGTGCTTGTGCCCCCCAGACTGGATTTTTTCCTGGCTTATCCCATTTCAAAAGGGTGGGGGTTTCCGCCCCTGGTGTCTTGGAGGATTTGGGGAGTGGGGGGTAAAGCAGGTCCCACAGGGACCCTCACTTACCCAGGCATGGGAAGCCACCATGTCCTTCCTCTGCATCAGGCAGTGTGGGGGTTCCATGGATCGATGAGAACTCTTGGAGACAAATCCTGTTGTGAGGCTGCATGGGTGGATCCAGTAGGATTGGTTCACCCTTTGGTTGCAGAAGGTGGATCCCAGTGTTGCACACAGGGATGACCCTGGGGCTCAGAGACCTCCGATTCTGCAGGTGCTCATCCTGTGGTTGGGCAGGAAAGCTCTTGGGTCACCTCTGCCACCTCCCGTGGCAAACTCAGGGTGGATGGAGGGAGGTTTCCCACGGGTTGTCCACCTTCCTGGTGGCTGCACTCCTCCGGAATGCTTCTAAACCTTCCTGATGTCTGTGCACCTTTCCAAGGGGTGGGATCTTCCCAAGGGTTATGGATCTTCTCAAGGGTTCATAGAATCATTTAGGTTGGAAAGGACCTCTAAGATCATTGGGT